CCCCAAGATTATAAACACGAAGGCAGGAAAATCTGGGGGAGATACTCTTGCACTTTGGCAAAGAGTCTTACTAATATTCATTATTTGCTTCAATCCCAAGTTCCGATTTGCTTCTGTCAGAAGTCCCATTAAATACGTACACATGCGCACATACAAATCAAACTATAGGAAAAAATTAGGACATACTTTCTATATGCTATCCATTAATAATGCAAGAAGTCACTCAGGTCATTTCAAGTACCTAATATTCTTTCCTCCAAGATGAAGATCATCAACAAATACTTTGGCATTTGAACTTCATCTGCTTCCATTACTTCACTGTTTCAGGTGGTAACACCATGACTCAGCTTAGACAATGAGGGAATACACAGTAGGAACACTCACCAGTGAGGTAGGGAAGTGTGTTGCAGGATCACAGCCACTTCACACAAGGAAACACTGACACAGGATTGCTTTTTCAGACAATACGGCAATTATCAATGTGATCAGATGCTTCTTTCTGAATAAGATGCAAATGGGCCCTTCTCATTTTTGTAAAGTATTAACTGGATTGAAAATTGTGAAAAGTTAATTTTAAATATTCACGTAAAATGCTTTTCACTGGTCTGAACACAGAGACACAATGATAAAACACTTGACACTGAAAATAGGTGCTCTAGCAATAACTGTACATGGCTCACTCCTGGCCAAGAATAACTGTTTTCACTACAATGTTGAGATTTCCTAGGCCCTTACTGTTAGGCCTGGCAGAATCCACTCTCCCTTGTTTGAGGAATGGTTGATGGCTAGAGTACTTAGAAATGATTTCTGCAAGAGGAATGCTGTGTTATTCACGATAATAAGTTTGGGAAGTTTGTCTTCTGGATTAAAGGTACGATTCCCTTGTTTTATTTGTAAAGTTTTCAGCAGAAAAGCCCACGCAGAAATGGACATAGAGAGGTCTGCTGGCAGCAGAAGGGTGGAGAGGAAAACTGCCCTCACCCCGGCTTCCCCACTTCTTCACTTGACAACTATTGCCTTTTTGAAGGAAATTGTGAATAGCTTTTGCAAGGGACTTGAGCACAACTAGAAAATCACTCATTTAGTTCCAGAATGCATATTCTGTACACTCTCTGCTGAAATTAGGAAAATGCAGTATATTCTTTGAGGTATACTGCTTAGGAGTATAACAAAATCACACACTCTCACAAAAATAACTCACTCTATTCACCATTTAAACACTATAAAAGTGCCCTGTAAAAAGACAAAAGTCTTGGAAAACCAAATGTGATGTTGACCTGTACACAGGGTTGAACTATCAAAAGGAAACCAGAGTTTGTGATACCAGGACAGAGCCAGTAAGAAGCTTCTGGCACACTGTAAGCGCTCAACAAATACATCTTCCTTCCCCAGAGGACCCCAGCCTCCACGGAGCAACTCCCACTATGTCACGTTGCATTGCAGTCTCTGCTGACTTCCTCCAATCTAGACCTGACTGCAGTTCAGTGGTAAAGAGTTTCGTAAACTTGATCTATTGTGTAGTCCTTCTGTGCTGGAATTGTACCTTTAAAATCCACAGACGATAAATCTCTCATTTGTTACTGAAGAAATGCCACAAATGTGTAAATAGTTCCTCTATAAGCTTTTCTTTGCCTCCCCTGTCTTGGAAATTGAGTCACTTTAGAAGAGTGTTTATTTTATTATCATCAGAGGCCATTTCATTAACCAGCTGTTCTATCAACAACTGGATAGCATTCTTGACAAGAGAAGAGGCTGTTTCTATCAAGAGTGTTTCATACTGTTCTGAAGTTCTACCCTCAAAATCACTGTCACTAGCAAAAAACCCTACTTGCTCATTTTCAGTGGAAATTAAGAAATGCTTAGGGACATTTTTAGATTTCCTAACATCAAATTCACCAACTTCTGTGTCTGTAATAATAACAGCATTGGGCTCCATTCTTTTGCTTTCTTCTGACTTGGGTTTCTCTGCATTGATCTCATTCTCTTTCAAGTCTGATTCCTCGCTCAGTTCAGTATCTTTTGGCTTATGCTCCTCTTCAGCTGCAGTCTCTACTTTCCAGGTCTTTCCAGTCTGCTTCAAATTCTAAGGTGCTATCACTGGGTTTTCCCACAGTTTGCTGATCCGGTGTTGCAGGTGAAGGAGTAGCATCATAAGCCACGGGCTGCTGACTGACTGTTTCCGAGCTTTCAAGTGGGCCTGCTTGCTGGGACTGAACACTTTGCCTCTCCTCCATCATTTTGGTTTCCTTTTCAAGGGTTAGAGTTCCTCTCTGAATAGCAGAATGCGCATTATCTAATTCACGTTCTACTGAAACCACATTCTGTCCAGCCATGACGCTGTTGCTCACATTGGACTCACAGAACTCATCACCGTCTTTTTGTGAGATGCCTTCACTGGGATCTTGGGTTGACTTAGGCTTTGTTGCCTGGTCATTGGACTGAGTGTGTACAGCCAAAGCTTCGGCCTGCCCCTGGACTTTCACACTGCAGCCCGTGTCTTCTATAATTTTGGAATGATGACTCTTTTGTGCCCCTCTTGAGAATTTTATTCAGGGAATCTTAAGTCTGGACTTGGCCTTTTTCTTAGAAAGATCAGCATCCTCAGCCTTTATTTCACGTTGCACTTCAGCCTCCGATGGCTTCTGCTGCTTTGAAGGATCTGACCTTTTCCTATGCATCACTAGGCCTTTGATCGAGGCCCAGGCACCCCCCGGACGCTGTGGCTGAACAGAAGCTCCTGCTTCTAGGGGCGTCTTCTTCGCAGCAGCAGCGGCCTCAGCGCCAGCTTTGGGCTTCAACACCTTGGCTGCTTTCTTCTTTCTCTTGAAGCAAAGCACAGATGTTCTCTCCTTCTGCCCCTCATCTTGAGGGCTAACTTCTGCAGATCTTTTCTCATCCTTATTTTCTACTTGAATTTCAGAAACGGTGGCCTTCATTTTTACACTACACTTTGGCATTCTCCAAAAAGCTGTATTCTCTTTTCCCTATGGCATCCTTATGGAAGGTGGACAGAACTGTGACAACTCAGTAAAAACTTTTCCAGGTGTATTCATTCCTTTCGCCTTACTCCATCCTGTTGTTTTAGATGGTTTCTCCAGTACACAGATACCTGGTTTCTATACAGCTTTAGTTTCTTCATGAAAACTCTTCGTTGCGTACGTTTTTGCTTACTTGGAGATCAACCCTGAGTAGCCGGGCCCCGGCCGACACTGTTCGTGAGATCGGGGCGCCCTGCTCCTCACCACCTCTGGCAGCAGGGAGCCACGGCCTCGCCACTGCGAGAAGCCCCCTTGCAGAGGGACCGCGGGCGTGGTGTCCCCTCCCCAGCGCCAAAACTATAATGTTAAGTGAAACAAGCCAGACACAGAATGTTAAATGCTGCATGATTTCACTTATAAAAATAACTAAAATATAAATAAATAAAAGAGAAAAATAAAGGAGAGATGCCAGGAAACAAAAAGACATATTTTTTGGAGATGGAAAAGGGGATTAGTGATCAAAATTAGTCAAGATATGTCACATACATATATATACCAATTCCCCAATATGAGCATAACAATTATGTATTGTAAGCATATTAATTAATTAATTCCCTCCTATTTACTCACTGCACTCAGGATAAAGTCCTGAGTCCCTGGAACTATCTACATGGCCTTGCGTGTCTGCGACATGCCTCTTTTGGCTTTGTCTAGCTCTCTTTTCTTCTCACTCTATTCTCTACCTGCATATGCAAAAAAGAAAAACAGAAAAACCACTAACATTTTAACGGTGGCTGTCTTTAGATCACTGGTGTCTGGATAATTTGTGTATTTCTTAATGCTGCTTATCTTTCAGTCTCTAAATTTTTAAGAATGAGCAACATTACATGTTCAGTATCTAATTTTCTAAGGGCCCTTGAAAAGTGTGGGAAGAAAAGTTTGAGAAGGTAGTTTCATCTATAATGCCAGAGGGTTTTGTGAGGGCAACTGGCTAAGGACTACCTGAGAACAGGACCCATAGAGTTATACGAAATGAATCCTCCAATATCAACCAAACCCAGGGAAATCTTAGGGACAGACTTAAAACTTTGGGTCAAGTGGCAGAAAACTAAAGGAAAAGTGACACTCAACATTTATTCTTGCAAAGAGCATAGAGTAGTAGTTTAGGAAGGAGACAGAGTCAAAATACTTCCATTGTTTTTATTTGGTTTTGTTTGAATTGGTTGATTTTTTCTTTTTTTTTTTTTTTAGTACCAAGAATTGAATTCACAAGTCCCATTCAGTTCAGCTATTCCTCTTGGTATTTGCCAAAAGAACTGAAAACATCATATCACAGCGATATATGTGCACCCATGTTTATAGCAGCGCAATTTTTAATAGCTAAATCGTGGAAGCAACCCAAATGCCCATCAACTGAGGAATGGATAAAAAAGTTGTGGTATTTTTACATAATGGAATATTACTCAGATATAAATAAAGATAATGTCAATGTTTTTAAAGGTAAATGGACAAAACTAAAGGCCATACTCGTAAGTGAATTAAATCAGATCTGCGTGTGTAAACGCCATATTGTCTCACTAGTGTAAGAACCTGAAAGAGTGAATAAAAGCTAGGAGGTACAATAGACATTGTGAAATAATAGGAAACTGTTCAGAAGGAAAGAACCAGGATGAGGGAAAAGAGAAAAGAAAGAAGGAAAAAAATATGTATATATGTATATCCTGGGTAGCTAACATAGCTGTACTACTGACTTTTATTGCTCTATTGAAAAGAACAGTTAATGTTTAAGTGTTTGATCTATCTTACATGTCTATATTTATTTATCTGAGTATCCAAGTTGAAGATATCAATATGTAATACAACAACCATTGTTAATTTAAAAAAAAAAAAAAGAATTGAACTCACAACCTCATGCTTGCCAGGCAAGTGTTGTGCTGCTGAGCTATATCCCCAGCCCCTGGTTTGCTTTTCTAGCTTGAAGATATTTAAATATGGCTTCAAATACAACACAGCACTCACAAACACTTTCTTCTCTGTGTATATCATATGTAGCTTTGCATGTATTATTTTGGGGACAATTTCTAAAGTGTCTTAGTTACTTTTCTCATTGCTGAGAGAAAATACCCAACATCTAAATTTAAATGAAGAAAGGTTTATTTGGCTCTCAGTTTGTAGAGGTTTCAGTTGATAGTTGGCTGGTTTCAAGGCAGGGTGGCACAAAGCAGAGGGGCATTGAAGAGGAGAAACCATTCATGGCAGGCAGAAGGCAGAAGCCAGAAAGCAGCAAGCTACAAGCAATGACAACAGCAGCCCACTTTCTATCTCTTATATTTTATCCCTAAGGGTGGCACTCACACCCCTAATCCTAGCATTGCACTGTGAATCAGTCCCAGTATCACACCTTTGATCTTAGCATCACACATTCTAGGTCCAGCCACCTCCAAAAAGCCCCACCTATGACTGCAAGAGGCTTGAGGGGGACATCTAGACACAAGTCATAACATACGGTTACAAAATATTTTAAATGAACCTTGACCATTTGGCCATTTGCCATTCATAACTGAAAATCTCATCAGGATAAAGGTGGTTAGAAAAAGTCCTTCTGGGGCTGGGGATTTACCTCAGGGGCACAGTGCCTACCTGGCAAGTGCAAAGTCATGAGTTCAATTCCCAGTACCAGAAAAAAAAAAAAAAAAAAAAGTCCTTCTGTTGTCATCAGATGAAGTCTCACATCCTTCCAGCCTGCTTCGTTAATTGTTTTTACACTCAGCCTAATGTCTTTCAGCTTTCAGATCTATGTGTGGATACTAACCTACCAAAGTGGTTCTCAATAACCCTTGGAGTCTTCTCTGTTTAGTTCACAAGGTGTCATTAAGTTACTGGCTGATAAGAAGTACATTTATTCAAATAGTATTTCTCAGTGGTCTTGGGACTTGGAAAGTTATTTAGTGACATCATAAAAACACTAAAGAAACCAATGAGTAGTTTTAAAGCTACAGGTATCAGAAGAGTTCACCAGCACAAATTCTATGGGAAGATGAGGAAATTGGAGCTGCAGAAGATAACATATTGGACCAACATTCCCTACAGATTTTTATTGGAGCTAAAGCTGAGAACTCTAGGATTCAGACACACAAACCCATGCTCTTCCCATCAGAGATCCTCTTTCTGAGGTACTCCTGGCCAAGATAAACACCTCTGTCCTAAACTACTAGAATTTCCAAGCTGCCTGAGGAAATGGGCTGGTGGAGAGTTGTCTGTTTGTCTGTTTGGTGAGTTTGTTCATTTGTCTTTGTATTAGTGGTACTTTTTAAGAAAAAATTTTAAACGAAAAAAAAAGCTGCCTTGATGATGATAAACAGGGCTCTACCAGAGCCCTGGTAGCATCACCAGAACCAGAAATACCTCTTACTGTCCACCTGCTCATCAGTGCCAAATACTAGTGAGACCGGGCTTAAAGGAGCAAAAACAGGAAATTGGCTACATTTCCCATTCAGCAGTCTGTAAGCCAGAATAACTGTTTCTCTGTTTTTCTGTCTGTCTGTTTTTATGGGGATTTGAGTGGCCTTATAGGCCAATTTCATGCTTAGGTACAACCAGCAGGCTGGCAAAGAGTGGCCATGTCTGCTGGTCCAAGTGGAGTGAGATGGAGGTCCTCAGGTGGTAGAAAGCCTGCCTGAAAAGGCCTTCCGTTTCCTTTCCCCAGCTCCCTGCAGCTGTGCTTGTGGTGTGCCCTCAACTCCTCTGTACTTTGGGCCAGCTTTCTAGGAGCCAGTCCCTCTTCAATGCCATTCTGCCTTCTCTGAGTTACATTCTGTGATCAAAGACGGCCGTAAAGTTGCAGTTTCGCACCACATAGAGCACAGAAGTAGATAAAACAAACCTTTATTGCTGGTGTGGGAGGGTTGCAGGAGATTGCAAGGACACTCGGAGGAGGGAGCTGGGGAACGGGATTTTATTAGATTGCACTATAGGTGGAGTTAATATGGGCAGGTGATGTGTCGTATCTCGAGGGGATTTGAAATTAGTTGGCGCATGCGCAAAAGGGAGTAGGAAGTTTTATCTCGCAGTCTGAAGAACAAACAAGTGTGTGTCCCGGCAAGTGCCATTTTGGGGATCCTGGATGTCTATAAAACAGGGGATTTGCCAATCCTAAGAGAGCTATGAACCTGATTTGGAGGGTAGGGAATAGGCCTTGGGTTTACGTATTTTTAAAAATTAATCTTATTGTGACCCCACCCAGATTATTGAGTCACGTCAGAGAGACAGCCTATAAGTGCTAACACATTTGAAGGGCTGAGCAAATATATTTTAATAATTAAGTTACAATGGTTCCTGATGAGACAGAGCCAGCAACTCATAAAGAATATGGTCTTGAATTCCTAAGTAGGACTCCAAAACCGGTTATCCTTCTCCTTTCTCCTCTATGACTTTAGCCAACTCCAACACCCACTGAATGCAGAAGGTGGTTTGGATAAAAGAGTCTGAAATTAGAAATCTCAGATGCCAGCCCAAACCAATGCGTAACAATAGACATAAATCACATCAAGACTTCTAAGCAGAGGGGTCCTTATCTAGACAAATAAAATAATTTCAGTCACTCTCACTCTAATTCTTTACCATGAAAATAGGACAAAGTCAGGGAAATTTTGAGTTCAAAGTTTGGATGAAGTGAAGCAAGACTGAATTAATCCGGGGCTGGGGATTTAGCTCAGCGGCAAAGCGCCTGCCTGTCAAGCACAAGGTCGTGAGTTCAGTTCCCGGTACCGGAGAAAAACCAAAAAAAAAAGCCTGAATTAATCCATACCAAAATGTAAATGAAACTGAAAACACGCTCCTTAAAACTTTTTAAGACACTGATTATAAAATAAATTCAAAGATCAAAGAGTACAGAATATCTTATTCCCAAATTTAACATATTTTTATTATTCTCAATAAATCAGTTAGTTTCTGAATTC